GTCTTTGGACAAAAATGGTAGAACCGGCGCAGCAGGGGGTGCATACTCAAAAATTTTTTACTGATAGGGGTGCGTGATCAAAAAAGTTTGGAGACCACTGCTCTAGGATGTATTTCATCAGGCTCTGACAACCTGAAGACATCTAGTTGTCCAAGTAATTTTTAATTTCTTTTTCCCGTTTTAGCCTCTGATCCTTCCTCATTTTCACTAGCATTCACTATGTTAGATGTCCAATCACTACTAATCTTTTTGGTGAAACCCGAAACAAAAAAAATATAATTTAGCACTTCTGTCATTTCCACATTTTCTGTTACTGTCTTTCCCCATCTCCTTGAGTAATGGGCTATCTTGTCCTTCCTCTTAGTTCAAATATATTTGTAAAATGTTTTCTTGTTACCCTTTAAATCTCTAGCTAGTTTAATCTCATTCTGTGACTTAGCCTGTCTAGTTTTGCTCCTACATGTGTTTTGCTCGTGTTGTTTTTTATAGTCATTCTTCATAATTTGTCCTCATCCCCACTTTTTTGTGGGACTCTATTTCTGAGTTTCAGATCACTGAAGATCTCCTGGTTAAGCCAGGATGGTCTCTTGCCATACTTCTTATCTTCCCAGTGGGACAGTTCAAGTTACTCTTGAACGCTTAATAATGTCTCTTTGAAAAACTGCTAACTTCTTGAACTGTTTTTCTCCTTAGACTTCCTTTCCATGGGATCTTACCTACCAACCCCCTGAGTTTGCTAAAGTCTATCTTCTTGAAATCCATTGTCTTCACTCTACTCTTTTTCATCTTACCATTCCTTAGAACAGGGGTGAGCAAACTATGGCCATGGGTCGGATCCAGCCCGCAGGCAGTTTTAAAACGTCCCCTGAGCTGCACCATGCGGCTCGGCCCCGCTCCGGCCGGGGCGCTGGGTCAGGGGCCACACCACGCAACTCGGCCCCACTCCGGCCGGGGCGCTGGGTCAGGGGCCGCACCACGCAACTCGGCCCCACTCCCCTGAACCTCTCCCCATGCCCCAACCCCCTGCCCTGATCCTCCCTCCCACTCGCTAAACCCCTCGATCCCAGCCTGGAGCACCCTCCTGCACCCCAAACCTCTCATCCCCAGCCCCACCCCAGAGCCCAGACCCCCACCCTAATTTTGTGAGCATTCATGGCCCTCCATACAATTTCTATTCCCCGATGTGGCCCTCGGGCCAAAAAGTTTGCCCACCCCTGCCTTAGAATCATGAACTCTATCATTTTATGATCAGTTTCACCCAAGATGCCATTTACTTTCAAATTCTCCACCAGTTCCACCCAATTTATCAAAAATCAAACCCAGAACAGCCTCTCCCCAGTAGCTTTTTGCCACCAAAGCACTCCAAGAACGCTCATTTACTTACAAGTCACTTTTTGTGTGATTAGATTAACTCTCTGGATGATGTGGCCCAAGTGGGGCATTTGAGGAGAGTCAGCATTACAGTACAGAAGAAAATCTGCACAGATCTAGAGGAAGGTGCTGTGGCGCCCATACTGATCCTGGAAAACAGAGAAGCGGAGGGCTTCCGAGCAGGAGGCTGCACAGTGTGGGTGTCACAGACTTACGCTTTGTTTTCACTTTTCCCTGCTTAAAAATGTGGCTGAGGAGATGGGGGAGTTATTACAACAGCCGTGTAAAATCCTAAATGGAAACAAGGCACCTTGTAGGTCGAGGAAGCTGGGCCGGGAGAGGGGGCGCGGCTTGTACCGCCAGTGGGGCGGGGACTGGGGCGATCACGCATACTGCAGGACAGGAGCGGGCCTGGGAGCTCAGGGGGGGTCACTCACGCTGCGGGGGAGAGGGGAGCCACATGATCCGACGGGGGAGGGGGTGTGTTACTCACGTTGTAGGTGTGGAAGCTCCTCCCCGCGGCGGTGAGCAGGTAGAACTCGCGGTGGCGCTGGTGGTAGCGCAGCACGTGGGGCAGGTGGTTGGAGTAAAGGCCGAGAGCGCGGAAGCCCGAGAAGAGCGCGCTGCCGCCACTGCCGCTGCCCCCGCCGGGGGCCGCCCTCACCGCGCTGCCCGCACGCGACATCCCCCAGGCTGGGCCGCCGGCGCCCGCACCCACAAACGCACGCGTCCGACCAAGTGCACAGCGGAAACAACCCCGCCCCTTCCGGCGCCGCCGGCTCTTGGCAACAGCCCAGCGGCCCCGGAGCGTCAACGAAAGCTCCCCCCCGCGCCTGCGTCCGCGCGCTCCGCGTTCCGCCTTCCGCGATTGGGGAGAGAAAGACCCCCACACACAGCCAATCGCGTCTGCGCAGGCGCTGCCCCCTGCCCGGCGGCTAGTTTCCCGTCGAGCTCCACGTGCCGTAGCCAGTGTTCCCATCACCGCGTTCTCTGAGCCGTACTCCAGCGCGCCCATCCTCGTGGCTCCTGACACCGTGTCCCTACGCCAGCCCCACCCACCTGCTCCCAGATCGGGCCGCCTGAGATCCGACTAATGAAATGGGGGCTCCCGTCCCAGGCGACGGGCTCAGATTTTGCTCCACAGCCACCAGGGCTCGGAGCATGAACAGGTGGGAGTTGTCTTACCAACTCTGAGAGGGCAATTAAGTAAGTGGGAAAAAAAAACCTTTTGAAGTGATAATCAAGATAGCCCAGTACAGACAGTTTGATAAGAAGTGTGAGAATTCTTACAAGGGGAGATAGATTCAATGTTTGTAATGGCTCAGCCATTCCCAGTCCTTATTCAATCCTAAATTGATTGTATCTAGTTTGCATATCAATTCCAGCTCAGCAGTCTCTCGTTGGAGTCTGTTTTTGAAGTTTTTCTGTTGTAAGATAGCCATCCGCAGGTCTGTCATTGAATGACCAGACAGGTTAAAGTGTTCTCCCACTGGTTTTTGAGTATTATGATTCCTGATGTCAGATTTGTGTCCATTAATTCTTTTGCGGAGAGACTGTCCGGTTTGGCCAATGTACATGGCAGAGGGGCATGAGGTTCATGCTCTCTGTATGTGTGTATATATATCTTCTCAATATATGTTCCATTCTATATGCATCCGAAGAAGTGGGCTGTAGCCCACGAAAGCTTATGCTCTAATAAATTTGTTAGTCTCTAAGGTGCCACAAGTACTCCTGTTCTTATTGAGTTTTTAGACACCCTCTGGTGTCCCAAGGAGTTTATGATCTAGATCGGATTGAAGGTTTTTCCCCTTAGTTTCACACAAATCACATTCTCTAGGGTTGCCACCACTGAGGTACCAAAAAGCCAAAACAAAACACAACGTCCGGGATGATCCTGAGCCCAAAAAACTGAACAGATGGTGGTGTTTACTGAGCACCCTTATACATTTCCCAGGACAGCTACTACCTCCAAAAAGGGACAAGTATGGAAAAACATGGACAGGTGGCTACCCTAATTCTCAGCATGTTATTGTTGTGTTATTTACTTCAGAAATATTTACTCCAGAATAGCTTAAATGGACAAATCTTTGTAACAGAGAAAAGAAAAGCTGAAAACTAAAGAAATAATGGTTGTCAAGACCTGCCTAATCTCAGGCTTTTGACCTGAGACTCATGCTTTTGGAGGATTTTTCCAGGCCCATGGAACTGTTCCCAGAACCTCAAGCCTTTTGTGGGTGCCATAGCTGTGGTTGCTGCAAAAGCTGTTAGTACAGATACAGCAGCCATACATGTGGTTACAGGGGGTCTAGATTAATTTCCAACAGGCTGCAAATAATAGATGCATTCTTGGGCTTCAGTATTAATTCACCTAAAATAGGTGAGAGATAGTGTTTTCCTGATTTTTCTTTAGAATATATTTTGTACCAATGTATTTTGAGACGACAAATAGAATCACAGGAAGAAGAACAAGCCACTCAGAAGGAAGATCTCTATTTCCCATTGTAGAGATGTATGGCTGACACCCTAAATGGAAGGGTTGGTGGTGGGAAGAGAAGAGATCCACTAAGAAGAAGCTTCATTAATGCAGAATTAAGGTGGTGTCTCGTACCCTTCCAGAACATTTTTTGGGTACACTTGGCTTCTGAAGTTCTATGGTTTAAAGTGAAGGGGAGGTTAAGATGGAAAGGGTGGAGGGGATGCTATTTTGGGTATGTGGTTTGGAAGAAGAGAGGCACACCAGTCTTCTCTTACATGCTTAAAGTTATTGTAACCACTAGACTAGTTTGAGTATCATTTTCAATGGTGCTCCTCCATCGGTTTAGTGGGTGCCATGGAGTAAATGTTGAGTGACTGAGATCACTTTGAGCACATTCAGGGGCATGGTTTGATCTGCAGTGCTGCACAAAAGACTTGGTTAAATCTGCCAACATTAAGAAATGCTATGGGGCGGGGGGTTGTAGGGGACGGGGAGTTATATCTCTGGGATCCCTTTTGCGAATGCCCCCAAATTTGGATCAATAACCTTACCATAAACCCACCTGAGGCATATCACATTTCAAAGCATTACAAGAAGCATGTGGATTTTAGAGCAACTTTAACAGTCAATCTTTAAACAGAAAGATGTTCTCAATCTTTATTATGGCACAGCTGGTATTCTGTTATAATGAGAAGGGCCATGTCTACACTATGCAGACTATAACGACATAGCTACCACACTGTAGCTATGCTGGCATAATCCTGTAGCACAGATGCGGAAGGGGTTCTTCAATCAATATAGGAACACCACCTGACCCAAAATTAAAATTGTTTTAATTAATAAATCCTTACATTATGGTTGTAAGATATTTGTTTACCAAATTGTACGTTAAAGGTTTTTACAAAATAAATTAAAAACATTTAAAATTTGAATTAAAAAAATCATTTGTAAAATTTACAACTTTACAAATTTGCATCATTGGTAATAAATATTTCTAAACCCTATTTTTTTATATTTATATAACTCCTCAATACTGCCCGTAGTTCTTGAAGTCTGTGCTTCTCACATGGTTGTGCTCTCAGAGATCTCTTTCGCTTTTTCATTCGATGGATATTGGATCTAGGTTCTTGACATTCAACATGCTGCTGACCATGAGAGCAGAGATCAGTGAATTATACTTTAAACTGTAATCACATTTTACAGGGTTGATCAAAGACACTGGCTAACGGTTTTCCCAACAAAGTCAGTGGGAGTTCTGGCTGTACAAAGAATGCTAGATCAAGCCCCAAGAGTGATTTTCATACTGATGCTGTTTCTTCTTACATCTAAAAAATAATCAGTCTGCTGTGCATTTCTGATTGTAAAGGATTTGTGCAAAGACGATATTCATCTTGAGTTATAATTCAGATTAAATTGTTAGTTTCTTCCAATAGTTTGGCCAATAATATTCATTCTAAAATGCTAACTTCCTTTTGTGATACATAAGAACTTAATACATTCAGAGGAAGCACAAGAAAAATAGCATAATTATTATGAACACTGGAACATAGCTGAAAAATAATGACTTTAATTAACAATATTAAAACCCACCACATCACAATTCACTGGGGGTGAAATTCACCCCATGCACAGAGGTAAATAGGACCTAAATGGCACATAGGTCTTGTGCTAGCTGAACTGCATTTGGGACTCTGAACAACAACATATATTGAGCAGATTACCCTAGGAGTGCAATCCTACTTGTTGAAATTGGTGAGATTTTGCCGGTCTCTTAACAGGAGCAGTATTGAGCTTTTCTAGTACAGAAAGGATTGTGTTTGTTGCCACAAAAACTGAATACATGAGGCAGTGGGGGAAAGCTGCGTTTAAAGAGAGTATTTTTGTTTTTTACTTACAAAAGGCCAAATCCTGTTTTCTTGAGTGAGGTAAACAGCCTCTTTGACTACTTGCATGAGTACAACAAGCAGGAGGTTAGTCCAAATACAGTAAAACTTCTACAGAACCCAGCCCCTATCTTGAGCATCAACATTAAAGTATCCCCAAGGTTTCCATCAGCCTTCATTATATTCCTTTCAACCTTTAATTAAAAGCCACTTCTGCCAGGCAGTAACTTAAGGTGTGGTTATGTTCTAAAACATGACACAGCAAAAACAGCATTGAACAAATTGCTGGGTTTACACAGAGGTTTTTAACATCTCACTAACTTCCAGCACTGGAAACTCAACCTGGGTTCAGAAAGTCAAGCTGCTCTTTCTGGCTCATACATCACCAGTTGTAATCAGTTCTGCTGCTGAAGTTTAGAGGCAAATTCTGTCTCTGAGACCATGGAGGTGCCCTTGTCAGTGAACAAGAGCGGTTCAATTGCACAAACCGGACAGGATTAGAGGGAGGCAATGCAGGAGATACACACCACCTTCATGGCACAGCATCGTCATCCTCATCAGCGATGGACTACCAACACATGGCATAGCCCTCTCACAAAGTGGGGACCTCTGAATGGCCATAAACATTGAGCTGATGAGAGTGAGACCTGGGCAGGCCAGTAGATGGTTGGGGTTAAAGGATCTTGTCATTGCTTAGATCCATCCTCTTTTTGCATGTAAAGACCAGGAATCTTTACTCCCACACATCCTCTGAAACAATAGCCAGACTATTTGTCCTTTAGTTAATTCTGTCTACTGTGCAGGAGCCATAATAGAACCTGGTTCACTCTCCCATAGTTGTAGTGGTTTTGCGTGCTAATAAGAATGAAAAGTTGTAAACAACTTATTTTTGTCAGTAAAAGGAAGAAACTGATTCGGCATGTGGAAGGGGAGCAGCTCTGAATGAGAAGACACTATTTTTACATGGTCACTTTACTGATCTTAGCTACTTTCTAACCTTATGTCTACACTAGAATTTTTACTTCCATTTAATTGATAGCTAACACGTGTGCACAGGCTAATCTGGACTCCCCTACATGTTTGTTCTGTGCTAAAAATTGTTTTTGGTTTACCCGAAAGATCAGCCCAGTGTTAACCACTTCCAGCTAGTGGGTAATTAACAAGGTCCAATTAAAATATACATAGTAAAGGCAAGCCCAAAGATAGAATCATAGAATATTAGGGTTGGAAGAGAACTCAGGAGTTCATCTAGTCCAATCCTCTGCTCAAATCAGGACCAACACCAACTATCATCCGAGCCAAGGCTTTGTCAAGCCTTAAAAACCTCTAAGGGTGGAGATTCCACTACCTCCCTAGGTAACCCGTTCCAGTGCTTCACCACCCTCCTAGTGAAATAGTGTTTCCTAGGATAGGATTGACTATCTTGGAAA